AAACCTATAGGCAGATATCAATGGTGATTTTTTCTTTTTCTGTGTTATAGCTTAAAAAAACCAATCAGTCCTAGAAATACATCTGGGTCCCACAGACTCAAAGTTCGGATTCATCCATCCACGCTCAGGTTTATTTGACATAAGGTGGCAAGAAACACTTCCCACCCTCCTTTCCCCCCACCTCTTTTTTTTTTTCTACTGGAATTCATTCCAAATATGGAAGAACAAAAGGCGAGAAGAAGGGTGTCTGTCAGGTGCCTCCACTGCCCTGTGTAGGGTGCAGTGGCAGGAAAAGACTCCCTGCTTGTGGGTTGCTTTTTGAATGGAAGGGAAGATGCTACACTGCTCACACTGTTTCATTTGCAAATGAAAACAGAGAAAAGAGGTCACTCCTCAATGCCGAGGCAAATGGCAGGGATTCTCCAGGTCTTACCAACTAACTGCTCTGCTTTGCTAAACTTTTTCTTGATGTATATCTTCTCTTTGGCTGTGGTCACTCCTCTGCCTGCTGTTCACTGGCATAAGAAAGACCATGTCATGCTTTCCTTGCCAGACATACAGGAGCAGGAAGAGTGTGGGAGAAGAGCAAAGGACCTGTTTACCATTTTTACATTGTGCAGTGTGTGTTGGATGCTAGAATGCAGAAAAATAAATCTTCTCATCAGTAAATAGATATGAGAAGAAATTACTTCTTTCATCATCCTGGTAGGTGATAAGCCTGTAGCAATTTATCAACTGTCCACTAGTAATAAATGTCTGTTGTCATTTTCTCACGTTTAATAACATTACATCTCTGTAATTTTAGCTGTTCATCTCAACTGCTACCCTTTTTTTTTCCTTTTTGAAAGAGTGAGCTTAGAAGAGAAAGGATAGTTTAACAAGGCCTCCTCCTTTCTTTGCCAAGCCAGCAAAATGATTGCAAAGAACACCAAATTAGTTATTCAGATTCATAACTCCAGAAGATGCCCACTTGCTTAAAGTAGAATAAACACCAAGCAGTCTCACTTGAATGTTCAGTGGCTTTGAATTTGGGCTCGCTTTTACAACACTACCAGCATTATTGTCTCAGCTTGCTGTCCCAGAGCTACTACTACATTTTCCTATCACCCCCTGGGAGATGTCCCCACCCTGTGTATCAGGTAGAGGAGATGAGGACCTTTCCTGTAATTCTAGACAGCATGAGCTGAAGTTCTTTAGTCCTTCAGCAAGCACGGTTAGAACGCAACCTACCTACTGGAAGCTTGGTTTAAGTGGAAGGGGGTTTTTACACAGTTTGGTACGACAGTGAATAATACCATCTCTCCATTAGCATCTCTTCATTCCTTCCCAATAGGAAATTAGCATTATTCTAGGCTACACCCACATTTTCAGCTTTCAATATGACTGGGCCTAATTATACTGCAAGGGTAATCAGCAGCAGAGCTGGAGTTTGTGGTTGTCGAGTTTGGGATAATTGGAGTTTGAGGCTTCTGGGAAGACATGGCAGGAGATTTGCAGTAGGAAGACAACTACCTGCTAAAAGGAACTTATCTCCCATGTCTAGATGACCAGAAAAGAGATAGTCTGTGGTTCAGCTGCCACACCAAGGCGGGGGGTGGCTTTTTCCTGTCAGAACTTGACCTATATTAAGAAAAGGAGACACTAAGTCAAAAATCTTATATTAGAGCTTCTTAAAACATTTGCATGGAAGATACATGAGGATCATGCCGTATACGTAAACCATCACTACAGAATGTCTCTAGACTGGGGTAAATTCATGCTATTCCCAATGTGACAAACTTCTCTTGAGGAGCTAGAATCACTGTGGGTTGCATTGGTTTGGGTTGGGCTCTGCAGGAGCACATCTGTTATCCTCTGTCTTAAAGCCCTCTATGTGCCCTTGCACAAGAATCTCTTCTAATTGGGCTGTTCTCCCTTCTGTCATAGATACTCTTCTCCTGGTCAAGCAGTGGTGCAACTCTCTGACTTACAATAGGTACTTTTAAGTGAGAAAGGACCAACAGGCTAAAGCCTTCCTCCCAGGCAGTGACTGGCCTCGTCTTGTGCTCCTGTCTGCCTGAGCGCTCTCTCTTCTCACCAGCTGACCTGCGATGTGTAGCCTCCCTTCCCTGGCATAGTTTTGAAAGAAAACAGGCTCATGAAGTACTGCTTGAGCCTATTTGTGAGATCTGGATGAGTTTTGGCACCTTCTGACCTCTGTTTGAATTGCAGATTTTTTTTTTTTTACAAGAGAAGTTGCTGGACTTTTCCATAGTAGGAGCCTCCAACCCTGTACTGGTGCATGTATTTCAGTATCCAATAAAACCTGCAATTTAAAGCAGAGGTACTGATTTATTTTAGGACCCTCCCAGGCTATGTAGAGAACCAAAGCATCTGACTACTTGCTAAGCCTTAGAGGCCTATATTCTCACGTGGTCTCAATTTCAGTGGAATTTGGTTGCACTGCTCTCATTGGGAAGCGTCTAGTCAGGATGAATTAATGTGTGTCGTCATCAGAAAACAGGACTAACCCAATTATCTCAGTGGCTGTGGTCATTGCAGAAACAGGGAACTGCTGAGGTGGGATACTTCTGGGTCACCCCAGAAAAAAAAATTCAGTGCTGGGGGTTTTTGCATAGAAAGTGACATAGGTAAAAATCAAATTCTCTGACAATCCCAAATCTACCTAACTAAATCCCACATTCACTGGGGATATCAGCACATGAAGAACATATACCAGATAAATATTTAAAAACTGAGGGTTTCCTGCATCACATTTTTAAATGGACCCAACTCCTCTGACTTGTCTTCTCCAGATCTAGCTTTGAAATTATTTACGCTCTGTTGTGAGCTTGTAATCATCTCTGAGATAAAGCATCTCAGCTCTAAAGGGAAGCTGAAATTTCACCAGTTTTTGTTATGCAAATATTTTGAAATAGGGAAGACGTTCCTTCCTAGCCTTTCATAGCAGATCATGACATGTAATTACAGTAATTTTACTGCAGAGCTACAAATACAAGCATAAGGAAGGCATGTGGGCAGTCCTGCTTGGCTAACAAGGGATGAAGGATTTGTAGATCCTCAACTTCCAAACCTTGGATCAGCTCCAGCCCTGAATACAGCAGCAACTGTCAGATATGTCAGACAAAAAAAGATTTCAACCCACCGTTAACATCCTAATGACAGTAGTCCATATTTTTTTTCCTCAGGTTATACACCGAGTTATTTCCCACCCCCCATCTAGTTAGGAAATGGTGTCCCATTCTTCATCTGAATCTGCCTGGAACAATCTTTCAGACACCTTTTGTTATAGTACAAGAGATTTATCCTGGGTTTAGATTTCTGTGTACAACTATCTATACTCAGACCTTTAGCCACATCTCAGCTTTTTGTCAGTGAGCTGAATAAGTTGAGCTGCTTAAGTTTCAAATCATGACTTATTTTCCAGTCCCTGAAGATACTTGTAACCCTCTTTTGAATTCTCTCCCCCTTTCTGTCCTCATTATTTCTGTGTGTTTTCTGAGGTGTGGATGAATAGCCATAAACCAAAGGTGTATCTACGCTGGTGTTCTGCCTCCCACATGTGGCACAGTAACATTAATAACAGTGTAAACAGATGCTGCTTTCTTCCCTGCTACCTGGTCCAGCATTCCAGTGATGTGAAGCTCATTGTACAACATACACATTCTCTTAGCCTGAACCAAGATCACTTGCTGTTTTCTGCTTGTTGACATTCCTTGTTGTATGGATCCAGGGATCACATTAGCATGTTTCTTGTCCTTGCAGTGGCTCAGAAGCTCACGTTGACCCACTGTCTGTGAATTTTTTATAAGTCCTCCATGGAGCTGCAGCTTTCCAAGACAGCCTACTAGCTCTAGCAAACAAAACACACAGTCTGATGGAGACAGTACACATGATCCTTCAAGCTAACCTCTTGTCCTTAACTCTCAAGCCCTTATCTGGAAAACCACCATTTATTGTATTCTGAGTTAGGATGCCAGTTTTTCCAGAAGGAAACATTCTATACTCCCAAATTCCATGTTAAAGAGAGATATTAGTATTTTACTTCAGACTACTTCCAAGCCTACCTACTTTTCACCTTGTATTAGGAGAGTAAGCCTTGCCTGCGTTCCAGAGATTTTAGCTAACAGGAATGTGACTTGCAAACTTTCAATGACAGAGATGTTCTAAAAAGGCTGAAAGCTACTTATATTAAATAAAAGACATCTAAATGTATAGTCAGCTCCTGGATTTTTTGAGACTATCAACAGAGAAGGCTTAAAAAATAAAAGCAGCATTGACTGTCTTTCTAAAAGAAAACTGATATTCCCTTATAATACTCTAATTACTCTAGGTGTTAGGGTATGAAAAGTTACAGCAGCATTATAGAGGAAGGAATGAGTTGGCAGTACTGCTACCACCTTAATTTCCTAGGACTCATAAAAATACATGAGAGAAATCACATTCAATTCTCCAGGTGTGCAGGTGTTTACACACCACCACACATTTGCTCTGGTATGCACAGACACCTCCCCCTCCTCCCACCCCATTCCTGCTCTCCTTCATGCATTCTCACCCCTGAATCCTGTGTCTGCTCTTCAGCATCACAGGCACAGGCAGACATATTCCAGCCTCCTTTATCTACAGTCATCATGCAAGGACCCCCTCACCCACAAGTACATATTCCAAAGTCAGCGCATACACACCAGACCCTGCACTTGCACACTTCAGAATGCATTTAGAATTTTATACTGGAGACATGGAAAGTCACATAGGGTCCCTCTTGTCCAGGCACTCAAGGTGCCTCAGTCCTTTTCAGAGGGAGCTTCAGCAATATGCCTTTTTGCAGCTTGCTGGGTTTTGGGAGCCACCAGCTATAAGAGTATAGGTCTGAGTAAATTGAGTGGTTGTGATGGATTATATTTTTACCTCCACTGTTCCAGCCGTTCACAAACCATCCTACACATCTCTTATATTAGAAGGCTTCAACCTAATATTTTCTGAGCTGGGTATATGGGACCATGATTATATCATCTTTATTTGTTTTTCTCCATTCACTCTCACTCCTCCATTATTCTCTCTCCCTGCTGATACCATTTAAGGATGCACTAAAATATTACACAGTGGTTTTTACTCACCACCATCTTTTTTCCTCCTCTTTGGCAGATGCTTACCCTAATTCTGAAGTGATCTATGTGTGGACTAACAGCACCACAACGTCTGTGGTGGTGGCTGAAGATGGCTCACGACTTAACCAGTACCACCTGATGGGACAAACTGTAGGAACTGAAAACATCAGTACCAGTACAGGTACGGAGAATATTTCCATCCTAGGGTTGCTGATAGCTGGAGTGGGAGGGGAGATCCACAGGTTCTGGTTATTTTTCAACAAGACTAGGGAAGTATGCGTGGGATGTGGAGTGCTAGGGAGATCCTGTGCAGGTTCATGGCCACTTAGCAGAGACACTTAAACACTGAGAGAATCATGTGCTGTCTCGTAGGTACATTGCAAGTCTGTTGCTAAAGATGCATCCAAGCCCCTGCTATTTACAGGAGTGCTGGAGAAGCTGCACGCAGCTTCTTGGCGATGGCTGCCAGTGCTATTGCTGGCTTATTTTCCCGTGGGTGAAACCACCCGGGGAGGCAAACACCACCCACGCATTTGATCCGTTTCAATCATCGCTTTAAAATGATTGCCTGATGAGACCACGGGGGGAGGGGTAGGAGGAGAGGGGAAGGGAATAGGGGGTGGAGGGTCAAGTGGCTTGGCGTGGCTCTGCAGCGTGTCCAGGGGACCACGTGGGTGGAGAGGAGGTGCAAACCCTGAGGATTCCCATTCCCTCCGAGGCTGCAAGCGGAGGCGCCAGATGTGGCAGCATTAGGGAGGCAAAGAAGCTTTAATCGCAGGCCGGGCTTCCACGTGAGCGATCCCCCCCTGCTTCTTAAGGCTCCCACGCAAGGGCAGCCCTGGGTGTGCATTGGTGCTGGGGGGGGGGGGGGGGGGGGGGGGGGGGGGGGGGGGGGGGGGGGGGGGGGGGGGGGGGGTGTTACTCCCGAGAGGGTCGAGGCTGGGACAGGGATCACGTGCGCTCAGCAGGACGGGGGCTTAACCAAGTTACACAATGCATTCAGCTGGAGAGCATTAGTAGCATCCATCGGGGCAGGGAAGAGGGGGAATGAAATAGCCTGTTCTGAAGGGAAGGCTGGGGAAAGGGGCAGCCCGTGACATCATGGCTGGGAGCAATTCCTGCAGAAAAAGCCCAACGGAGTCTGCTGATGATATATTGTATGCCTGGTGAAAAATGATGGGCAGAGTTGTAGAGGACAAAGTATAGATTGAATTAAGAACCTGTTACTATCTGTAGGAAATGCAGGAGTTGTGAAAACAGGTACACATACACTTGCACACAAAGTTAGCTGGACCAAAACATAAAGATGTGTAAATCTCTATGCTCCAACAGGGAAAAAAAAAAAAAAAAAAAAAAAAAAAAAAAAAAAAAAAAGGGAGCGTCTGAGCTTGCTGTTTATGCTCCAAACAGGACACAAAGTGAGGGAAGGCTTGCCACGGGCAGCTGCTAAATACAACTGCCATCTCCATCCTATAGACCTTCATCCACCCCCCTTGCACATTGCAGGAGACACAAAGCTGTTGCTAAAGCAAAGACACCTAAAGTCAAGAGAAGCATGTGGACAGAGCGGTCACTTTTGCAGGAAAAGAATGAGCACGCTATCTCCCATGAAACAGTAAAGACACTTTTTTCCTTACCAGTTCACCATCATAGCTGCGTTGTTTTCTGCAATGAAAGGCAGCTCCCCTCTCGCCTTCATTGTTGCCAGGAGAAAGATCCAAAGGATGTACTGGAGCATCTCCTATAAGCTCGTCCTGCTCCTCAGAGCAAGAAAACCATCCAGCCCAGGCAGTGAGTGCTCCAGTGTGTCAGCTCCAGGCCACTTCCAGTTTGCCGCTTTGCCTGTGAAAGCTCCTTGTACTCCTCAGCCCAAGGAAACAGACATATCCCAAAGTTTCTGCACAGGAAACACCTCCCTCATGTATTTAAGATTTATGCTAATAAATGCTCGGTTTCCAACGTCAAGATTTTATATTAATGTCCTGGGTTACATCTGGGCTGGCTGGATTCTGATTGCGGGGTGGATCACAAAGAGCAGGACACAGATTGTAACTGGGGATTAGCAAAATACAAAAATCCGATTTTGCACAGGGAAAGCATCAGTCAGCGATGGATTTTCTGGACTTCATCAAGCTCGTAGGAGGCCAGTAATCAGCATTACTTACGAATGGCCGTTGAAAGCATTTCTTCCTTCTATTGAATTGTTGAACGTGAAAAAGAAAAACCAAAAAGCTATTGCATAAATCCAAGTACTTGGATCTTTTGTGGCTTTCATGACACAAATCAAACTACACAGCTCTTGCTGTTGCATAGACAAAATGTTTGTGTATGTCATGGGTCATTTATGCTCTTCTTTCTAGCAGACTCCTTTTTTTAAATGGAAATGCCGGACCTGCACCAATCCGTTGGGATTCTGCTGATTTTGTAGGCAAGCTGCTAAGTTTGGCTAGCTTGACAGAAAAAACTATCCTGGCATTCCTAATTTATCAGCTAGTCTTGAAATTTGGAACATTTTAGCCATGCCACAGAAAACAGCTCTGACATGTGCCACCTGTTTGATTTTTTTGGCTGTTTGTTATATTTTATGGGGTGTTTTTGTTGTTGGATTTTTGGTTTTGTGTTTTTTTTGTTTTTTGGGTTTTTTTGAGCTAACATCCCTGAATGTCATTCCACCAAAAGAGAAGATATTTCACTACTCACATTGCTTCCAACAGACCCAACATCTGTTATATCCTGGTGGTACAAGTGCTGAATACAATCAGATACAAGATGAGTCCAAGTGGATCTTGCTGCTTTCCACGAATGGTTGCCCAATCGTGTTCCCCATGCCCAGAATCTCTCACAGATAACTCAGGGTCTGCAGTGTCGCAAAAGAAAAGATAAACCCGCTCTTTTATATTCTGCCAGCTGGAACCCGAGCTCTGTAATATCCAGAGCCTAAATGATAAAAGAATCATTCAGTTCTTCATTTTACCCCAAATAAATCTGATTTTTTTCTGAAGTTGAATTGTTCTCCTGCATCACTACAAAAGGACACACAGATTTTTCATGGGCCAAAATGTTCTGGATGTCAGCATGGTCAGGGAGGTGGTGTTACAAACCTAATTTCAGGATCTCGCCAGAAGAGCCATTAATAGACTTGAGTTCAGGTATATCCAATAAACCAACAAGACTGGTGTCTTGTCCAGCCTCATTAAAGTACTCAATTGAATCTCAACCTAATGGCAATGGAAGAATGCATGTAAGATCCTGGAAAATTTTTAAGCACAATCTTTGGAACTCCATCAACTAGATACTAAAAAAATACTGTAGCAGCTTTTAAAGCATAAAAAAAACCCCTTAAGACCAGCAGCATAGTAGTATAGCTCTGTGAAGAAATTCAGTCATTCCTGCTCTAGGCTTTTCTTTAGTACTAAATTTGTTATAGTTTAATAACAATAGTTTGTTTTCTGCAGTGTTGAGTGGACTCCATCAGGAAAAGGATTCACTTCTAAGTGCTACATAAACCTATAACAAAAATTAGCTCTTGCTCAAGAAAGCTTATGGTCTAAGGATAAACAGTGGCCTTACAGAAGTAAAAGAGAACTCTCCAGCTCCAACAGAGCCAGTATCTTCTTCTATATAAACAAAGGCCAACTCAGACAGCTTTTAGCTTTACTCTAAGCAGTGGTCCCAGAGCATTAAAAACCAAGCTGTGGGGTTTTCTTAAGCTTCAAGTCTTCTGGGGGAAGTATTCCTAGTGTAGGTGTTTTTGAAAAGGATAGGATGGGAAATCAGAGAAGATATTGGCTGGAAGAAGAGCAAGTGCAAAATCAAGGTGTTATCATTTTAGTGGAGACAAGGGCTTTGATAGGTTAAAGGAAAAGGCAAAAATCAGCTGTGGATGACCATCAAAATGTAGGCATTCATTTTCTACATTTTAAAAAGAAATAAAAAGGGTCCTGTTCTGCTGCTGAAGCTCTGTAGATCTTTTTTTTTATTATTCCAGCTCTGAAAGCATACTGTCAAAATCGATAATATACATCGTCACTCTCTTGCAAGCAAGGAAACTGTGACTCAAACACATCTCAGTGCAGTAGCAACTGAGAAACAGATTACAGGCATACAGACCCTGCTGACTCTTGGCATATTTTGTGGGTAATCCACAAACTAGATACTCCTAAATAAAGAGCAAGTGGCGTTCCTCCTGAGACCATTGCATATTGAGCATCCCTGGTTCAAAATTACGCTAAATGGAAGGCAATTAGGTGATGCTTCACAAAGATTTTCTCCCCAGTTTCACAGCATTCCCTGTCCTTCTCCACATCACTCTTCAGGGAGCCATTTCACCAGAAAATCAGACTCCAGAGATAGACATAAAGATTGAGCCAATGTCAGTTAAGGTATTTCCGTGTTTTTCAGTCTTTCTGTCTAAAATCCTCAGCATGAATAAGGTCTGTAAAATGCATCCAGAATAGCTGAGCTCCTGTAGCATAATATATCAGTGCAGCTATACCTGCAAAAACCCTTTCACTGTAAACCTGTTCTCTGCTAATTAGCCATATTGTCCCTTAGAAATAATCTGCCAAATCTAATTACTTAGCAATGCTGGCCACAGCTCAACTCGGGCTATTCACTCAAGACAGAATCAGTCTGTTGTATATATTCCTTTTGTTGCTGGCCTGTAGAGACTAACAGTCAAGTTTTGCAACAGAGATTATAGATACAGTTGTTTTGTTCTTGGAGGACAATATATATTTCAGGACAGGCATTACTCTGTTTTATCAGTATCCAACTGAATGATGCTTTTAAATTAATTTTATATCAGTGTGAGTGGAGAACTGTTAGGGCTTAAAGGGTTGTGTTGTTTTTTATTCTTACATTTTGTGTTTACTCTAATTTTTCCTAGGCAAATAGTAGCATGCTTTTAGCTAGCAAGAGTTTGGCTTTCGGGAGCAGTTACCATCATGAATAGCCCTCAGTAATGACAACATGGTTTTCCAGGAACTGTCTGGAAGAACTGGGGACAGTAACCATCAGAGGTAGCCTTCAGTAACAACTATATGGTTTTCTAGGAACAGTCTGAAAGAGCAGGTTAAGTTTTGATTTTTTCTGAAACATTAGGGAAGGTAACAGCTGGTCTGTTGATGTTGGAGTGCCTTTTTTTTTAGGCTTCTGCTGAAATTCAGAGTAGTTGATAAAAGACAGATTAAGGCAGTGCTGTGAATTTGGCATACAAAAAAGACATGGAATTTACCACTGCTGCGGAAGCTTTCAGTGAGCTCTTGATTCAGGCAGTACGGTATTCATTGTACAGGCAAACAAGACATGACACAATGTCTATCCAGAAACAGATTATTTTTCCTGAGGCTAAAGTGTACCAGATTCTAGGAAAACTGTGTGCACTAGAGGGACTTTTTTTTTTTTTTTTTTTTTTTTTGTCCTGGAGGAGCAATCTGAAGGGTTTGGGTACTCAGATCAGTAAGACATCCCAGAATCCATATGCAAAGTGGCAATTTTTGTAGCAGACAGTGGGACAGGGAATGCCTAAGTGTGGTGCAGAAGGTGTCCAGACACATTTTTATTCTTGCAAACTGATGGCTTGGCAGTAACAGTTGCCCTAATGAGGTTAATCCCTGATTCTAAATCAGGTTTCTAAGAGTAGACAGCCTTAACTGTTACTAAGTTTGTCAGAATGGGTCAAAAGAGGCAGGGCTGAGGCAGTGCCAGCAAGCCAAATTTTTAAGCCTTTTTTAAGCGTTCCAGGTACATAGGAGGACCGCAGCTTTTCAGTGTAGTAGGAGTAGTCAGTCATTTTCTTCTGCAGTTGGGGAGTGAATGTGAACACTATGAGGATTTAGCAGCACCTCTGTCTCAAGTCTTGGTTTTCCACAGTGCAGAAATCCAGACATTTTTCATACAATTAAGAATGGCTGAGTGGTATCCTCAAATGGGAGGTTGTAACTGGCCTCCTTAAGTCCCTGATCGGTAAACCTTATTTCTTTTACCCACATGCACATTTTTCTCCTTCTAGGTGAATATACTATTATGACAGCCCATTTTCATCTGAAAAGAAAAATTGGTTATTTTGTCATCCAAACATACCTTCCTTGCATTATGACTGTGATCTTATCACAAGTGTCGTTTTGGCTAAACAGAGAATCTGTCCCTGCTAGGACTGTCTTTGGTGAGTACCCCCCTCTCTCCTAGAACACAGGTAGGATTGGTCTGGCTTGTGGAAGTGATTTGCTATAACAAAACCACAGTTAACTAATGTTTATTTCTGCTTGAGAGGTTGGAGATGTTTCCTCATTCTCTTCCAGTTCAAACTCAAAATCTATTTAAAAACACTGTCAGTGCATTTTTTCTGCAATGTTATGACAAAAATTGGTCAAAAATCAATTACATGAAAGTTAAGGACAGAAGACAGAAGAATCAGATTGGTGTGATTTGTGGTGGTTTTTTTTCCACTTGGATAAAATACTGGATGGTTTAGAACCAAAAACCATACAGATTATCATATTTAGTCTATGCTTTGGCTAAGCATTTGAAACACATTTCACTTCAAGGCATTTTTTGTATCTCCATTGTAGGATGTTTATTTGGGAAAACCATGCAGAGGTTAATTAGTGACAATTATCTCTATTACCATCAAACAAATCAATATGAATTTGCATTTAGAAAATGTATATTTACTAAAGAAATTGTTATGGAAAAAACCTTTGGGGTGTCATTAAGTTACTCATTTTATCACTAGAAGATTGCAGAAAATAAGCACTCTCTTAAGTGAAGGTTGATGAAATACAAAATTTTCACTAGATGAAAAATGAGGGGTGTGGGAACAGTTAATTACATAAAACTTTGTTCACCTCTCCTTAAAGGAGTTATTTTTTTGTACAAACCTACTAAAATCTGTTGTCAGCTTTGATCAAACATCAGTTCAGCAAGTTGTATGGGGAGAATACAGGTAGCAGCACCCTTTGCTGACCAGTGGAACCCATTCTAGATTTACAAAGGTGTATCTGAGAGTTGAATTTTGTACTCTTGGGGAAATCTTCCCGCTGATGAAAGTAGTGGCAGCTGTCAATTACTGGCCTATGGGAAAGGAGGAGCTACGGTCAGGGAAACTAAAACCAGTCAACAATTTCATACCTGCAGTCTCTGTGTAAGAAAACAAACTAAGTAATCCCACTTTATTCTGACCGTTAAAAACACTGGGCTTGGGTTACCCTAAAAATACTTATTTAAATACACTATAGCTAGAGATAAACAGAACCCCATAGAATTAAACATCTAAGGGTGGAGGCTTTCATTTTTGTTTTCTTACTCTTTCAGACCATAATATGCAAACAGTGATTTACTCCATGTGGGCTTCTTAAGTATCCTGCATTGGGACCTGCTCATAACTCATTAGTGATCCCATAGAGGTTAGGAAACTGATCTCTGCCTCTTTTATTTTTTCCTTCTTTGCAGGAGTAACAACGGTCCTCACCATGACCACCTTAAGTATCAGTGCCCGTAACTCTTTGCCAAAAGTGGCCTACGCTACTGCAATGGACTGGTTTATAGCTGTTTGCTATGCCTTTGTATTTTCTGCATTGATTGAATTTGCAACAGTCAATTATTTCACCAAAAGGAGTTGGGCATGGGATGGCAAAAAAGCCCAGGAAGCTGCGAAAATCAAGGTGCTTCACTTAGATTTTTTTAAATACCTAAAATAAAAAGCAGATATTCAATATAGTTCAAATAACTGAATAGTCAGTTTTCAGGTTCTTCGTGAAAAAGTTAAACTACCTCATGACATACTCTCACCTCCGTATAGACGAAAATTTGCAACCTTCTCTTCATGGAGATAGACTACTGGTCTCTATCATCTATATGAAGAGGACTTTTTACAGAAGGGTATTGGGCATCGAATGCATGTGGAATGGGATTTCAGTGACTAGACTTCTGATAATAGCAGGCTTGTACTATGAAATATATCTCTGCAGAGCCCTCCCTCTTTGCTCTCCTAAACAAATGGCAAAGCTGAATTGATCTCCATGAGTCAGGGTTCCATCACAGTATCCCCTCCAAATAAGGGACAAAAGAGCTGTTCTGTGAAAAGACAAACTTGAATTTCATGCTGAAATGAAACCTGTGGAATAGGACTGACTCTTAGTAAATCATCTCCTAGGGAGAGCTTGTACCCACAGGCATCCCAGAAGAGCCATACGAAGAGACAAGCTGGCAGGGGCAATGAGCTCTTCCCCACGCTCTTTGCTGCAGCCAGGGGAGTGAGGTTCACATCTTGTTGTGGGGCAGCAACCCCTGCAGGTGCAGGACTGCATCGCCCTGAAAAAAGCAGCTGCTAATGCACATGCCAGGTGGGGTGCAGGTCAAGCCAGTCAGTCTCAGCTTACTCTGGCGTCAGGAAAAGTTTCACCTGAGTAAGGGCTACAAAATCAAGGCAAAACCTTCTATTTGGTAGTCAAAGTTACAACAGCCAACAGGCTCTTATTAGCATGATTGATTACGGTGCTTAGCTTTTTCAGTTAATATCTCGAGAATGTTTCCACTTTCTGTTCATGTGGTCTAATGTTTTGTTCTTTACACTGCAGAAAAAAGAGCGCAACTTGTTGGGAAATAAATCAACTAATACTTACACAACTGGGAAGATGACGCCTGCACCAAACATGCCAAAGGACTCAACCCCATCTGTCATCTCAAACACTACATCTGCTCCAGTGAAGTCTGCAGAAGAAAAGCCTGCTGAAAGCAAAAAGACTTACAACAGCATCAGTAAGATTGACAAAATGTCACGGATAATTTTTCCAGTGCTGTTTGGAACTTTTAACTTAGTTTACTGGGCTACATATTTGAATAGGGAGCCTGTAATTAAAGGTGCCAATTCTCCAAAATAAACTGAAGTACTCTGAAGCCACATGTGAGCCATACTTACAAAGCAGATGCTACCAAGGAAAATTTGAGATCCAGATGACTTTCTACACATTTGGGCAATATTCTTCAGGAAGTTTTTTGCATGTTTAATAATATGTACAAATAATATTGCCTTGATTGTTTCTACATGTAACCTCAGATGTTTTGGAGACTATTATATTACTTACAGCAATTGATCTTTATAAAAGATCAGAAGACATTGAACATGGCTTCTTTGCTGCTGAGTATCTTGCATTGATAGTTTACAAATAAAATAAGTTATATTTTTTAACTGTTCAAGTGTACTACATATCGTGGTTTTTATACTTCAGATGTACAGTCATTCAAATATAGGCTTAACCTATATTTTATGGAAGAGCTCTACTGTTGTCATCTGATAAGTTACTGAGTAACGCCAGTTGTAAATGTGCCAAATTATTAAGTGTAGGGCTATGTTTGAGCACCTTTACTAGTTACAGGCAGTGCATTGCTCCACAGATAAAACTGCTCAGCCCAATTTTCATTGGAAATTAAAAACAATGCAGTAAATCCTAATGGGACTATGCAGATTTTCACTGCTTGAGACTCTAGCTTGCACTGAAATAACATAGGAAGCAGGATGCTACTTGTGTAAATAAAGGTGGTGGAATCTTGCATTTAAATGAAAAAGTTTGTTTGGATTTTGCATTCCAAGAAATTTTCTCTAACAATTCTCAGTATTTATTCCAAAAATTAAGAGTTATATTGCATGAAATTAACATAGATTAGGAACATACTTGTGCAAATAAAACTTTTAACAACAGCAGTAGACATTTTTATCAGGGTAAAGTAAATGATGTTTGGACATTTTCCCCAGAAGAAGATTGTGTTATATTAGCAGAGATTATGCTGCAGTAATTATTACTTGTTTCTCACAGCAAAAACCAGTCAGCCAACACTAAGGGGTGTAATCAAAAAAAGAGATGTACTTCATGACAGCAAGGTGTTTCAGTGATAATATTGACAGAAAGGTCTTTGTACTGTCCATCTGAAACTTTTCTATAAAACGCCTTGCTGCTGACCATGTGTTTTGCTTTCACAATGAATGAGAAAATGCAGTCTGAGTTTTCAGCTCTTTCCTCCTTGGCATCCTTTAATTGTTCCAGAAGCTTTTGTATTTAAATCTTAATGTTTAAATAAAAAATGCATTCAACATTTGATTGCAAAATGTCATTCTTATATTGGTTATCCTTTTAAAAAGACCAAAAAGTCACACCACAGGAGCTGAAGAATTAACTGGAAAGCACACGTGTGCACTTGATCCCATGACGTGCATATGACACATCCTCCCTGTTGCCCAGAAAGGAACATGTCTTGAGTGAAGATAGTGGATCGAGTTATTTCAGAATTAGGTACTATCTTGCTATGAAGCATCAGCCCTGTGATCTTTCTGGGATAGAGAGGAGAGTTTGTGCTTCACTTTGAAATGAGTGTCTGATCTGGGACTGGGTAGCTATCGGGGCTTCTTATGTATCTTCTCTTCAACCCTTTAATTCCCAAACATTTTCATTGCCAAGAAAAAAATCTCATCTATTCCTTTTTGAAGCTTTTTGTTCGATGCTGTGGAATGAGAAATTTGCAAATTCTCGGTGGCAGTGGAGAAGCTATGGGATTGGGGAGATGACTGTATGCTGATAAGGAGGAGCAAGGGAGGAACATGCCCATCTCTTCAGTCCTATCCTGAGCCAAGGTGAGGATGGGGATCTCTGTTTTCGTGTAGGCTTCCCATGTGTCTTTGAGCAGCCACAGACTTCCTTGCTCATTATCCCTTTGGCCCTTTGGGGATCAAATACAGTGAAAAATTTCAGTGCCTACTGGGAGGCAAAACTTTATATAAAGTCCCATGGCTGTTTCTTGAGATGAGAAACTCAGAGAATTTCATGACTGAGTTGCATAAATGAGAAACTCGGAGCCGTCCTTACAGCATCTTCTCCAGGGCAATTTGTCTGCCCCAGAAGGTTTCTGTGCTTTGTTTTATTTGCTTACACCCAAGTCTGACTCATACTCTGTATGGCTCAGTATGATTTTCTGGTCTCCGTTGCAGGACTCGGTGCTAGGATCTCTAACTCTGATCTATTTTACTTACTTGGAAAGTCTCATCTTCAATGAGTACAGATCTACCTGCAAACAGCAGAGTAGTATGGCCACAGGATCGGGTTGTTTGCTTTAGTCTAGTATGCAATTTATTGGTGTTTACCTGTTGTATAGAGGATCTGATATGCCAAAGGCATATGGCACCACAGGCATTCTGTACAAAAATCACTTCCAGCTGTATTGGCTGTTGCTTTCTGTGTTTGAAGGTAAAGGTGGAAAATAATGATTAGAGCTCATTCTGTTAATATGGACTTGCTAGATTAGGTTGAACTTTCCTAATCCTTGCTGAGAACTGAAATGACAGAAGAAAAAGAAGCTCCCTTGCAATCTGTGCTTGTGCAGGAACACTAGGTGTTGTCCCATAGTTTGTAAGATGCTTCAATAAGCCGATAGATTCTGGACTGGAATACTTAAATGCCACTGCCTTGCATTGCACAGGCAGATTTACCTAAAAATTGAAATCTTTCCACAGTCAGAGAACTGTTTGTGTGGGAGACCATTACTCACTGAGATGGCATCTGAAATGTGGGAGATGGGAGCATTTCCCAGATCCTGTCTCAAAGGAAACACCTCGGCCTTGTCCTGCTCCAGGCTGGGGTGGTATCTGGATGTGCATCAATCTCCTCTGGTTTCCCCTGGAAGTAGCTTGGGCTTTCAGGAGTGGAGTGAGCTGTGTCACTGTCCCCAGCATGAGTGAACTGGGGCCCCGTGGGACACATCTACTTCACGGCCAAAGAGATTGATAAATAGGAATTGCTTCTTATTGGCTTTTTCCTGTATGCTATCAAGTAAAAAGAATTGAAAAGGGAATTACAACAATTGAACACCATAGAGTAAGTGTGTGCAGCCTGCTGCTAAATTTCTTTACTTGCACATGTTAAGAATGAAAGAACAAGCTGAGTACAGTGGAAAAGGTCTTTTAGTTGTGATATTTGAGCTGTGCCACCTTATTCCCAGGATGAATTTTAGCAATAACATGTTTTCTAAAGCTTAACCCTCTTCTGTTATTTCAAGTTGTGTTCTGTTTTTTTTTTTTTTCCTAAATGCAATATACCTTCTTTGGAATAGCTAGACATATTTGTACAAAACTGAGAAAGAAATTATTTTATTAAATAATCATATCTTTCAAAAATTCTTGCTCAACATGTAAGTTAAACTTTCAAAAAACTGAATGAAACTGTTTTGCTGTTCAGTTTTGCAGGCAAGATGCACAGCTGTTTCGTTTTTAAATCTAGAGATAAAGTTCTTTGTAATAAGGATGTATTTCCCCTAACACCTTTGCTGCTCAGATTTGAATTGACACTGAAATTACCAAATTGCTTGAATTCTTTCTGGCTTTTTGTATGTTTTTATGTCACTACAAATACTAAAGTAATGGTCATTGCTTGGTGAGTCTCAGATGACATCCTTACTTTACTGATTTTGTGTCTTCCAGTATGTTGTTATAGACATTTGTTCAATTTAGAGGAAGACAGAAAGATTGGAAGTTAGATTTTATGAAATCCAAATGACTGATCTGAAAGATCTTCTTAGGTTTACCACTAATTTAGACTGAACTGGAAGTGTCCCATTCTGCAGTGCATTATTTGCCTTTTCATTGCCATCCTCAAAAGCAATTATCACTCCTCACAGTCATCATATCTTAAAAGCTTCTGTTTAAATTGGCCTTGGCTAAAGACAAAGTGAAAAGGAAATTGACAATGCTGATTGAAGATACCAGTTTATTTCAGTTAGATGAATTTGGAGAGATTTTGAAAAATACTGATAGATTGTAATTGACTGGACCAGCAGTGATAGGTTGGATTCGTAGGTGGAGAAATTGCTACAAATAAGACCCACCCCCTCCCCCCCCGTAACTTGTCACATATATGATAATAAATGCTGGAAGCAGCCACACATGGCAGTTTTGCCTCTGGGTCTGGACTCAGTTCTTCATTCACCGCTGGCTGGTGTTATTGACGTCCTCAGGAACGCTGCTCAGAGGAGCAGACCTGCTGCCCTCTTCTGCCAGCATGTGAATGTGAAGATGCTGAATAGCTGCAGCTATTCAGCTGCAGCACATCAGGGGGGATTCTCCATATCCTACCAGAGAGCAGAGTCCTGTGCTGAAGAGCAGAGCTGAGGGCACACGGAAAGTGTCTGGACCTCTGAGGTTCAACTTCCTAACTCAAGGCAGAGTTAATTATTTATAGAAGCGTAGCGCTTCCAGCAGTAGTGACAGAGACCTTCAGTCTGAATAAATTGACCCTATGACTCTTATAAAATCTCTAATAAGCCTCCAGCTGGAGTACTCAAGAGGATGTAGGAGACAAGTTTCAGGCCCTTCCTAGTTTGTCTCAGAGCAGCCCCAGTTCCCTTCTGTGCTGCTCGTGGTATAAATAGCACTGGGGTGCCAGGAAGACTGCCAGCAGGGTTCTCTTTCAACATTTAATGTCAGAAAATGTTCAGTGCTAGAGAGGGGGTTCCCAGTTCTAGTAAATAAGGCACTTGATCTGTGAGTCCCATTCCCTTCTTCTGCATTTCCCCCCTGATTTATGTTAACTAGCATCCTGCACAGCTACTTTCAGGGACTCATACTTCCCCACTGTACAACATATACCACAAAGGTATCCCTCAGGTTGAAAAGATAGTCGCCTCCTGTAAAAATGCAATGAGAGGTAAGTTAAATGTGGGTCCATTTTATTGTGCTAGAGAATATAAACATTTTACTATCATTACAGGATATGATAAAATGTTCTTTTGTTAAAACATATGATGGATAATCATGCCCTCTACCTGAATACACAATTTGAAAAGGCTCAGCAAAGGCAGAGTGTGCTTAAAAGTAAAATAAAAGCATGTGAGTGTGAAGAGAAGCAGAAATGACTGAGGCATGAAGTGTAATGAAGAGTGGCGCTAAAGCATCCCTTTAGCAGCAACACATAGCTCACCAAGGCCAACACAAAGAAAACCTTAAACATCACCTTTTCTTTTTCCTTACAGCCTGAGGAGAAGGATGCAATTATTAATGAACCGTATAATTTCGCTCCAGCCTTGGAGCTTCCAGCCACAGTCCAAGGAAAGAGGGGACACTGTGAAGGTCTTCCTGGAGAGCTGGGTGACTCGATGGCCACGTACAGCTCCGGTAGCGACACGCGGTCACCGGCAGGGGTAACCGAGCGCTCTGTCGCCGGCTGGAGGCAGGCCGGAGTGGGGGACCCAGCCACATCCCCATCCCTCGCGGTTCCCAGCGCCGCCGCCAGAGGATCCTGCCTCCACGGCAGGAGGTGGCTAGGGCGGGACGGAGCTGGCGGGCGGGATAAGAGGAGGAGCTGCCGCTGCGGGAAAGCCGAAGCCACCCCTGGCCGGGAGGAGACGGGACTGAGAGCCCGGGTCTCCGTACCAGGGTGCGGCGCTGGACTTGCGCTCGCCGTCTCTCTCCGTAAATCGCCTCCGGCGTATCTTTCCTAGCGGTCTTTTTACCACGGTACCATCTGCGTTCCTTATACCGCCCACCCGGGCACTGCCAGAGGCAAGGCGGTCTCCCGCCGGCAGAAGAGCACCCTCGGCCCCGGCAGCCAGTTCCGATGCTGCAGCACCGCCCCAGATGTTCGCGCTGCCAGGCTCCCGGACAGAGGAGTTGGGGCCCTAAGCTTTGGGGCTAAGCTTTTATTTATTCAAATTGTGTGCGTGTGAATACACACATTTTTCTATATGGCTAGCGCAATGGTAGCCGGCGATGGCGAAACCCCTTCCTGCATGGAGGGCGCTTCCCCGTCCTTTATTCCGAAACGCGCGGGCACCGCGAGCCAGGACGTGGGTACTGCGACCTCGGAGTCCTAAGTGATGTTTCTAAAAGCACCAGCTCTCAGAAAACCTTCAGGTGCCTGAAAACTCTCGCCGTGCTGCGGTGCGGGCGGCAGGGGGGAGCCCGGTACCACCACGACTCATGACCATCAGCGGGAGTTTCTCCCGTCGCTGAGAGGCGCCGGCTCCCCCGCTCGCCCTGTCCCGCCTCCCGCCCGCCCCACCGCGCCGGTGTTCCCGCAAACTTCACATCAGCGGATTGGCGTGCTGCTTGACCGGCAGCGTAGCTATTCCTCCTAAAATCCAGGCAACCCCCGAGCTCCCGCCGACCCTTCGTTATTTTCTCAAGGCAGCAGGCGGTTTGGATTGCACCCGCAGGTCTCTGCTGGTGGCGGAAAAAAGCACAAGCCTTGTAACAATTGGCTCGTAGCAATTCACAGTAATGCAATTAGCCAAAGTAAACAAGAAAGAACTGCTTTATAATCCAGTAAAGAGGCGTTTAGGTTGAAAAAAAAACAAACCTCGAAAGGTTGAAAAAAACCCTAAAGTGCACGACGAGGAATTAATTGCCTGGCTCACAACGGATTTTGCCTAAGCTGTCTCATTCCTTCAATAGATATCTTCGGGAACAGAACTCCCTACAGCTAGCTCTTCTAAGCATCATGTAGGAGTTATTCTGAAAGCAAGTCTGCATCTTCCAGCAGATTAGGTTTTTTTTTTTTTTTTTTAAATGTAATGTTATAAGTAAAAACGACTCCTCCAGAACTTGGAAGTTATATCTAAGGGAGGAGGAAGCAGAAATTTATACTTCCAAGAATTCTAATCACAGGAAAACGATCACTC